CCGTTCTGGGTGTGTAGCTTTTACTTATTCTGGATCTAAACTTATTTTGGACAATGTCTCTTCTGAGCTCCGTCCTCCACTTTGAAGTCTTCATAACTGAAACTTGGGAGGTTCATTCTATCATCAGTTTCATCTTTCATTTCACAGATTTAGCTTTTCTGTTCATTCCCTTTTTTTTTGCTGTTGCTCTTTCTGCCAAGAGAAAGAAAGTCCCCATTTTTACCCGTTTCTCGCGGAGTTACATGCATCAGTAACATGGAACCTTTTGTGGTGGTGCCAACACAGAGCAGATAGTGACCCACAGAAAGCAGAATGAAGCCAGGAAAATCCGGGAATGGGCTTCATTATGTTATTTCTCCCTTTTGGCTTCATCTCTGGTTTTGGGTACATTTACTCGTGGGGGGCATAATATATTAGTGCTTGAGTGAAAGCAAAGGCACCGCCTTTGAAAAATAATACCCAAAAAAGACAGAGAGAGAGAGGACAAGGTTGGGGGATTGTGTGTTTGTGTTCATGCTACATAATAATGAATTAGCTTGATGTTTTGTTTTTGTTTTGTTTCTGTAGTTCTGGTTGGTGGTAGTGGGGGTAGTTTTGTGAGGAGTTTCTTTGAAGGGACTGTATTGTATTGCTTTGTCTGTTCGTTTGAATGTTAGGTTTGTGGTAACTGATTTCAATAGATGAGATGGCTACTGCTCTACAAACTTAGAGATTTATTTAGTATACAATATAAGGGTATGGGGATTCTGATCTTTGAGTTAGTTTCTCAACCAAAGATTTGTGTCAAGGAGCTGTTGCAGGTGGCTTTCAGGTTGGGTTTGAAGACAGAGGGCCCTCTAGTTTTACTCATTTAGTAACTTGTTGTGCTGAACAAGAACAAGAAGGAGAGGAAGAAGGAAAGACGGAAGGCTCAGCAATGCAGACACCAAAAGCAAAGTAAGATTCTTTCTCATTTAGTAACCCTCATTTACGCCTTCTCCTCACTTTTAAAGCTCTTGAATGAGTTTTTGTCTCAGAATCATGTTTTGTTTATTATGGCAACTTGGTGTACCTTTTGGTCTTTCAAATCTTGTTCTTTTGTTCTGCTAGCAGTTTTGAGTCATTACAATTGGATATTGGCATCTAAAAAGTGAGCCCATTTTTACTTCCTGCATGGTAGTACTTGCCCCAAAACAATGCCTCAACTTGAACTTTGCATTGAAGATGATCTATACACTTGTCTTTCTACTGTAATGCTAGTAACAATAATCATGGGTACCTCGACTCCCACTTAATTTACCTTCTTCAACAATTCTATTTCTGCTTTAGGGGGGTTGGATCTCTTGTTTTGCATCTGTCGACATCATTTATAAGAAAAAGGAAAAAAGATATTGTTGCCTCAAGGTAACTATCAAAATGATTATGTTCAAACTTGTTTGGTGTTGCATCGATGTCCATGTGGTGGTTGAGAGTGTATTGAAAGGGATCAAGTTTTGGTGGCAGCTTCTGAAAGTTGTATTGCTACCTAAACTTCTCAAACACCTTGTGTGTATATAAAGATTTAACCTTAAGGGAGAACTGTACATTTTCTTTTGAGTCATCTTATTTCAATCTCCATGAATCCTTCTGCCGACTTCGATAGCAGGGCTGCCTCCTTGGAGGTGCCACAGAGGAGATCTCCAGCCACCTCAAGAACTGCTCGCCAACTCAAGCCATCTGGAGCCGATTCTGATTCCGTGGGGTCCCCAAATCCTGCCACCAAGACTCCTAAGGACAGAAGCCCCAAGGTCCCTGAACGCAAGTCCCCAAGAAGCCCTATAACGGAGGTAATGTAGTCCAAACTCTAAACACTTTGATTACATTGGCAGGTCGTGTTGTTGGGTGTATTTGGTAGGATATCATGTGCAATGACATGCAATTGTTCATTGACACTTTCTATGTATTGTGAATCTCATTTCCGACTTGCTTTTGCAACAATGTCTGGCATGAGTGCATTCAACCAAATAATTATTAAAGCCAACTGTGTATCTTGCAGAAGAAGCGGCCAACTAGAGTTTCCGAACTGGAATCACAGCTATCTCAGCTGCAGGATGATCTCAAGAAGACGAAAGATCAACTGAATGCTTCAGAGTCGAGCAAAAGGCAGGCTCAGCAGGAAGCAGAAGAGTCAAAGAAGCAGCTCATGGATATGTCATCCAAAGTCGAGGAGTGTCAGCAGCAGCTGATGGAGCTGACTTCATCCGACGACACTAGAGTGGAGGAGCTCACTAAGATCTCCCACGACCGAGATAGAGCTTGGCAATCCGAGCTTGAAGCTGTCCAGAGACAGCATTCCATGGATTCTGCTGCCTTGGGAACCGCCATGAACGAGATCCAACGGCTGAAGAATCAGCTGCAGATTGTGGCGGAATCTGAAGCCACACAGATAAACCATGCTGAGTCAGCCCACGAAGAGTTGCAGAGGTTGAGGATGGAGCTCAATGAAACTCTTTCCCTCGTTGAGAGGATGAAAAGTGAGATGAATGATTGCAGGCAGTCTGAAGCTGAGGCCATGGAAGCTGCTAGGGAAGCTCAACAGCAACTGGAAGCAATTGCATTGGAGTTGGAGCAGTCGAAAGCTCAAGCTAAATCCTTGGAAGCTTCTGGAGATTCTTCTGCAACAGCAATGGAGGTGACTGTAGACCAGGACGCAACAAACCAACTGAAGGGTGAAGTGAAGTCTTTGAAATATGAAGTGGGTCAACTGAAAGCTGCGCTGGAAGCATCTGAGGCTAGATACCAGGTGGAGTATATTCAGAGCACACTGGAGATTAGAAGTGCTTACGAACAAGCAGAAAAAACAAAGCAGGAGTCGGTGGAAAGAGAGACTGAACTGGAAGCAGAACTTGGGAAGGCGAAGGCTAACATCGACAAACTGAAGGCTACTCTAATGGATAAGGAAACCGAACTCCTGAACATTTCAAACAAGAATGAAGGATTAAGGTCAAAGATGGAGGAAGAAAACCAGTCGAGTGAGAAGGAATCTGAACTAGCAATGCATTTAAAGAAGCTGGAGCATGATTTCACATTGCTGAAAGCTGCCCTTCTAGAGAAAGAGACACAAGTGAAAGGTTTAGCCGAAAAGAATGACATGCTGAAGATCGAGATCGAGAGAGGTGAAGCAGAGAGGAGCAGGGCTAATGATGAGGCAGCTGCAATTGCTGACACAGCTAAGGCAGGAGAGAGGGAGGCATTGATGAAGCTTGGTTCTGTAACCGAGGAAGCTGATAAGAGCAGCAGGAGAGTCGCCCGGGTGACTGAGCAGCTGGATGCAGCTCAGGCTGCAAACACGGAGATGGAAGCTGAACTGAGGAGGTTGAAGGTGCAGGCAGATCAATGGAGGAAGGCAGCTGAGGCAGCTGCATCAATGCTTTCATCAACAGGGAATAATAACAACGGGAAGTTTGTGGAGAGAACGGGTTCGCTTGATAATGGCATGAACAATTACAACACCATTGCTGGGACTATGGGTTCGCCTTTCTCGGAAGATATGGATGATGAGTCGCCGAAGAAGAAGAATGGGAACGTGCTGAAGAAGTTCGGAGTGTTGTGGAAGAAAGGTCAGAAGTAAACTAAAGGATCTAGTAATCCCTATCAGGCAAGTCTCCCTCTCTCTTGCAGCTTTTTGTTTTTGTTTTGGTTAGCTGGAGAATGGATTGACAAGCTGAAAGCTTTTCTGTTTTGCAGGTTGAATGGGAGTAACACATATCGCGGAAGGTGGAGTGATTTCTGAACTAGCCATGTCTTTTGTAAGAGTACTATTGTATAGAGAAGTTGGATGGATGGTGGCTGTCCATTTGTTATGTGCTTGACGCTACTAATCAGCTGGGGGGGAATTGGGACAAACTGATTCTGGAGCAGACAAGAGACAGCTAGCTTTAGTTTGTATTGTCATGTAAGAATTCCTTGTATGGTTTTACTTCGAGCAATGAGTTCCCCCGTTTTTTTCTTATATATCTTCCTGAATTATGTGATCAAAATGAATTTCCCATCTGTAGTCATATCTTCTTTCTTGTTTTCGAGTTTACTGATGCAACGTAGCAAGTAGCAATCTCTCCCACTCGTCCTATGTCAAACCCACTCGAACTTGTAAACGTATTCTCTATTCGATCCAGTCCATTAGCAGCTGAAAGCTCCAAGGCATTGGAGGAGTCGTTTATTAGTTCTCCACCATTCAAATCCTGCAGTTTTTCTTAGGAATTTAAAGAAAGTCTCACCATTTGCTAGAGTGCAAGAGAGGGTAATACATGTGATTTATGAGATAAACGGTAGTGTCAAAGGTACATGACCATAGTTTGAGAGGAACACATGAATGATGAAGAAGAGCGACACTAATTTCAAACTATATGACAATATTTTTGCTCGACACATCCATTTTGCTCGGGAGTATATGGACAGGACCAGCGATGAAGAATGTCATGTTCTTTTGAGGTTGGACCCGACATCTCATCTTCCACTCTTGCAACAAGCATATGGAGATTGGCTTTCACCGTGTTCATCAAAGGGTGGGTTGCCACAAAGCTACTCGTTCACTATATCTCCACCGATAGCCAAATTATCGATCTTCTAATCAAACCACTTCGTCACCAACGATTTGTCACTTCCGAGCCAAGTCGAAGGTTATTGCCCTTCGACTTCGGGGGTGTGATAAACCGTACCGAGTCCCAATGTCCAACTACTTTGTGTTAGCTAGTTGTTTCCTTGTATCTCTCCAACCGTTTTCCATGTTCAGCTCCACGTATTGCTTTCCTCTTGTATAATTATGTACTTCATTAGTAATGAAAGTTAAAACAGTGCGCTGAAAAAAATGCTTAGTGCAAACCTTTGATTCAATCCATCAAGGCCCATATGAAACTTAGGCCCACTTAGACTAGGGTTTACACCGGATTCGTTGGGCCCAAATCCAATCGTGTTCCTCAAAACAGAGCCTGCTCTCAGGAATCCCTACCTATCTATATATACACCAAACAACACGAAACGAGTGCTAGGGTTTATATTTTAATTGCCGCTCGCAGCTTCCCCTGTCCAAGCTCAGAAGACCCTCGGCGCCGCAGCAGAACTCCGTCCAGCAGCCATGGGGTACGTCTCCTCTTCCGCTGTGAATCCCGAGCTTCTTGTGCATTTCATTTTGCATATGCCGAGCCATTTGAGATCTTCACTCGTTTTCTCTTGTTTGGATCCTGTGAACGATGATTTTTAGGGATGATAGCTATCATTTTTTGGATTTGGATGAACCCTCTCGTCGAGAAGTTGATTCTGTCCCTGTGATGGGTGTCTCTGGGATTGTTTATTTCCATGTACTTAGATTGGGACTTAGTTATAGCACCATTGTTCTTCAGTGAGCCAAACCTAGTTTCCAATATATTCGATATTCTGCACCTGAACTTTACTTTGGCCTTTGATCTTTGTTATTTGAGGAGTTGTTACTGTGTATCTGAGAATAATTGGGTTTAGAAAGCTGAGAAACTTTATCTTAGAGGATGAGAAGTGATATATTGTTTATGTCTATAATTAGAGATAAAGCTTAACTTGGTATAAGCTATTGCAAGTGAAAATGTGTTTTGGTATGAACTTTATCTTGTGGTTGAGACTCGGTTCGTCCAATCTTTTGCAGGAAGACACGTGGAATGGGAGCAGCTCGCAAGCTGAAGACCCACCGCAGGAGGCAAAGGTGGGCTGACAAGGCTTACAAGAAATCTAACTTGGGTAATGAGTGGAAGAAGCCATTTGCTGGTTCTTCCCATGCCAAGGGCATTGTTCTGGAAAAGATGTAAGATTTTGCTCTGGTTTTGCTATATTCGTGTTTTTAGTGATAGTATCATGTTCATACAACTTTAAAACATCCCACTTTATCTGACTGTTGGTTTGAACGTCTGCAGTGGTATTGAAGCCAAACAGCCCAATTCTGCTATCCGTAAGTGTGCTAGAGTGCAGCTCATCAAGAACGGAAAGAAGATTGCTGCCTTTGTTCCTAATGATGGTTGCTTGAATTACATTGAGGAAAATGTAAGTGCATTTTTTTTGTGCTACCTATTCATTTCCCTCTATTTTCACCCTGTTGTCAATGTGCTGATCTTTGATATGGTTTGGTGGTGCAGGATGAAGTGCTCATTGCTGGATTTGGTCGTAAGGGTCATGCCGTGGGAGATATTCCTGGTGTCCGTTTCAAGGTTGTGAAGGTCTCTGGTGTCTCCCTTCTGGCTCTATTCAAGGAGAAGAAGGAGAAGCCAAGGTCTTAAGTTATCAATGGACATCTCTAGTTTTTTGCTGTAGTTTTCATTGTGTTATTGTTTCCGAAACAACTGTGGAATGGTTGTCGTTCTTGTCCTAGTGCACCTGCTGAGCCGACTTCTGGTTATTGTATGGAGGAACCTTCAAAAATTTTGCAATCTTATATGTTGGAAGTCTTTCACATTCTGAGCTCTGTAGATTTTCTACATTCTCGTTTCATCGCCGTGAGTCATAAATAGTTGAAACCTTGCTACCGGCAATGTCTAAGTTGAACAGACCTCTGATCATAGGCTGAGATACGAGATTGAAACTAGAGCTTCTTGGCTTACATTATGGTCACACTCGCCATTGACGCCATTGTTTCAGTCCAGTATGTTCTTTCCCTCCATGGCTCACTCTGATTGCCAAAGCTCTGGAAAAGGATTCTTAATCTTAAAGAGTGTTATGCTGCAGAGTGCAGACTAGTTGGAACCACACTCTTGATAACCATGCTCGAATGTACGAAACCACATTTTTACTATGGAAATTAGCGGACTACTATATTTGTTAGCAAAGTCCGAAACTTGAAACAGAATACTTCCACAAGAACAACATTAAGTCAAGCACCATTACTAAGATTGAATAGAATACTTCCACAAGAATGGAAAAAAGTTAAACAGATCATACAGTAACGAAGCATAGATCGATAAATTGTTGGTCAGCAGGCCAACACTTCTGTCAAATGACTTAGCTGCTGCTAGTTAACCTACTATTAGAGCCACTCCCGCATAAAATAAATGCCCTCTACTCAACCTATTGCCTTCTCCGAAGATAAAAGGGACTCCCTACCCTCCCCTGAAGGCTGAAGGGCAAGCAGTCTTCCACCTCCTGACCCTTATCCTCCCTCATAATCCACTTGACAACTCAGCAAGTTCTTCATTCCGCATATGAACCTCATGGACAGATTGAGGAGCTTCACCATAAGCTTTCTTCGGCTACTGTTCAAAACAGTTCATTTCCTTCTGACTAGGACTGTTTTCTCTACTCATTGCAACAACATCACCTACCATGATATGACTCTCCTTGTGTTCACACTCAAAAGATGAAACTTTCTCCTCCAGACCAACCTTTTCTATGCTTTTGGTAGATGGAAGCACAAAGGGAGTGTGCTGTTCATCAATAGGCGTGACTTTCACGGGCTTTGGATTCTTCTCCGCACTGCTTCCAGGGGAGGATGTCTTACTTTGCACTCTGGGAGATATGCTGGGAGAGCGCTTTGCACTTCTTAGAAGGCCGCTGCTGCCAACCTTTGGTACAGCCATTGAAGGCGCCTGGTTATTAGACACTTGGGATTTTGACTTGGAGCTGCTCAATGACTGTTGCTGAGTGCCAATTCTAGGAGTCCTGGCTGGCGTTGTTGCAGATTTAGCAGTTTGAAGATTTCCTGGCTTTCCTAGGTTTCCATGGAGAACTCCCCCTGGTCTCGGTAATCCACTGGGCACAACCCCTGGTTTTGTTTGTGAACTCCCATTTGAATTTCTCGAGGATGATCTCGCCTGGATTCATAAAAATAAATGTATGAAATGAGGAAAAAGATTGTCCATAAGTCTGGGAAGACAGAAGCATGTCGCAGGTGACATTGCAAGAAAACACTTTATAAGAATGACTAGGAATGCGAGAATTCACCCCATCAAAGAAACCGATTTTTGGCGATGGTAGTCTGAGGCCGGAGGGCTTAGCTGACTCCGTAAGAAGTTCACCATTTTCTTTAGAGACCCTTCTCAATGATTGACCGCCTTGAGTTCCCGCTGCACCTGGTTCACTACAATGGCTTGGAGAATCTGAAACTTGGGAACTCTCATCATCCTCATAAGGGTCTACACAAGAGGCTGTGTCGATGCTAGATCTTGAACAATTGGACCTCTTGTTAAGGGTTGAAGTTGGTGACAGTGATATTGACTCCGAGGACCATTCACTGACTGAGCTGGCGGGTGAAATGTTTGGAGAGTGCTTGACCACAGACCTGAGATAAGGCGAGCGATGTGGGATTGTTGAGTGGTTTTTACTTTTTGAACCGATTCTTGATGTGGCTTTGGCTATGAGGCTAGAAGAAGGAACACCACCACCAGCCCTGGGGTCTACTTTTCGTGTAAAAGAGCTCAAGGAAGATCTGCTGCTACCACCATCAGATGAAACGCTTTCAGAACAATCAAAAGAAGAGACTACTGACTCTGTCTTTGTTGAACTCGAAGAAGACCGCCAAGGTGGCGATAGCTTGGACACAGTATTCCTTGAACCACCAGAAATGGGTATTTTCACTCTGCCTGCAACAATAGATCCTGTTGAAGGTGAGCACTACACACATCTGTTTACACTTCGAAGAACAGGAAAATATAATTGCTGAAACTAATCACCTGTCAAGTCTTTCGTATTTGCTGAATTGCTAGCTGAACATTTTCCTTTGTCCTTTTCCGATTTGGCACAGGTGTTACTCAACGGACCTTTCTTGGCTGCTGTTGAGATGCCAACTCTGGCAGCTATCTTGGGGGGCTTAGACAGGGACGTTGTTTCTCTTTTTGTTTCAAGAGACTGCATTGCTAAACATTGTTAGTCGAACGTAATGCAGACTCAGTGATGCTACTGATCTAATGACTGACAAATGAGTGTACTCAGACAAGTCAGTAAAATGAAAATGAAAATATCATCAAATGTCGAAAATCTTGCAGAAGTACTTTTCCTCGGAAGAGAGATAGTAATGCCAAATCAATATAATTGCCAATTATATCAAGTAAAGGAACGTGCCTGCTGAGCTTGTGTAACAGTAGATGTGTTCTTCATTGTTCTCCGTGATCCTGGGATGACAACATCTGTCTTCTTTGAAGAAACTTTAGGTTTCAGCTGGAATCCGGAAAAAATAGACTCATAAGATGCATAAAACTACTGGCGATTGTGCTAATTGGGATCATGCATTGAGGTTACCTTGGTTTCAGAAGCTTCCTCCAGTTTTTTTGGAGCTGGAAAGGTACACAAAATCAGTCCCAACAGAAACTAGTTGAAAGTACATAGAGATTGTATTTTCACAATTTGCAAGTGGCAAATTCAACAGATGGCATGGAGCCCAGCAGAAACCATTTGGATACAATAGACCTACTCTTGTTATCTTCTCTATACAAAAATTATGCAAAACAGTAGTAGCTACTTGGAATATGAAATGCATGTTCACTTTTCATTGTCACTCCTTTAATAACATTGTTAGAAGTGCAGCGGGAACCCAGCATACCCCAAGGGTGAACTAAAGTTTAGGAAGTGTTTCAATGTACCATGTCAGTATAGACTGTTAAAAATGCAATCAAAATGTATGGCACTTGCGAATTTCTGGATTACCGAGGGCGTCTTCAATTAGGAACCAAAAGGCAGAGTTTGTATCGACTATCGAGTAAATGCGAATCAATGTATTGTCTCTCTCTGCTTACTCACATTGTTTTGCTGGGGTTGCAGCCTTGACAGATCCTGTTCTGGTACCAGAATTGGGCTTGGAACTTGCCACACAAGATGATCCACTTGATTTCTGGATTGATGCTCTAATGTCACCAAAAAGATCACCCTCAAGATTCTCCATGGTCAAACCCTCACTTGCCAAGGTAGATAACGAATCAGTTGATCTTTCTAACTCCTCTCTAATTCCAGGTAACATCTCTCTTTCCTCAGTCTTCCCCATCATGCTAGACAACTCATCTGGTTCCAGAACACCTAATCACATGGATAATCGATGTTAGAGTGGGGCTACACCACATCTACATACGAGGCACACCTACCTAAAACCATTGCAAACTAAATTCTACCTGCGCTCGTGAAGAAGGCACTGTCCCAGGCTAAACTTTTGCGCAAGTTGTACTTCATATTTTTCTTGGTCTGTTCCGGTTCTAACGATTCAAGAGGCTGATGTTCCCTGGCATCATCCCCGCACTCTGTGCTTTGAAGACTCTGAGAATCCACAAGGTTTAATGACAGATCGCTAGCATTGTCCAACAAATCATCTGCAGATTAAGTTGCAGCAAAACTCAGCCAAGGTAGAACATCTTCTGAAAGGGCAAAAGAAGACAAATTTCATACAGCATCTTGGGATAAAGCTTCTTAAAAGCAATCCCAGAGCCCTAAACTACCACTTTCTGGACCCAAAACGAGACAGCAGATAAGCTAGAACATATAGTCGTCAATTTCGGGAAATCTTCCCGTAATTAGCTTACAGATCCAAATCAACCCTAATGATTCGTTTACTCATAGCTTCAATCTTGCAACTGGAACAGATGAGATCCAAATATTGGGCAGAAGAGAGAGCAACAATAGGAAGGGGGAAAAAAAGGGTTAACCGCAGGCCCTAAAACAACACTCGGTAGCCTGACAGGGAATCAGCAGCCGCGGCAGACCCAGAAACGGGCAAGAGCCAAGAAGAGCTGGAAGTAAAAGAAACAAGAGATAGAGGCAAGTGACCTGAGAAGTGAAAGTCTTGGCGAGGCGGAGAAGAGGTCGCATAGAGGCAATCGTCCTCCAAGGAGACGTCGAAGAGCCCGAGACGGTTATCCTCGAGGCCGAAATTCTCACTGGGCTCGCTCATCGTCGAAGTGGGGAAAGCGGAGGTGCTTTCTGGATCGGAACGCCGCCGGGTGTGAGAGATGCGGTCGAGATTGAAGGATCGGAGGCGGACTGAGTTGGGGGCAAAGCGGGGGGAGCTTGGAATTTCTCTTTCCTTTTTTTTTTCTTTGTGGCAGAGGAAAGAGAAATTTGAATTTTGGAGAATCGGCGGTTTAGACTTTTAAATTAAATTAATCGAATTCAAACGGAAAAAACTCAGAACGAAACAACTGGAGTGTTGAGAATTGAGATCAGAGCCGAGAAAGGAAAAGGCGGACATGAAAATAAAAACAAAAAATTTTAATTTAGAATTTTAGATGACTATGTCCACAAGTGACGCGTCTTCGTGGCAGAAAGTAGTTTGGGAGCGTCTGCCAAGTGCCAAGGCCCAAGAGGCAATAGGAGTTGGTCCTGTTATTTGCGAATGGACCCATTTTTTTTTTTTTAAGAATAAGCACCTTATAAGAAAGATCCAAGCGTAACACAAAAGATCAATTGAGAGATCTTCACGACTCAATGCGTTCCAGCTCGTTCGACACATTGAACATGACAATTGGACAAAGCAATACCATAAGTCGTCATCTGTGAGACATTTGAAAATGGTCCATCACACTGAATCTTGGAGATTATTCAACGATGGACAGGATTTTGGCCAGATTGCTCAAAGCTTAACAGATCTGAGGGAACTGGAGACTGAAATCACAAAAACCAAAGAGACAGAGGAGTACCACAAGACCATGAAACCACAAAAAAGACGCCTTGGTCCATTCCATGCGTGTCATAATTTGTATGCACGGGACTTTACTAACTACCCCATCTTGAGTCAAGAATAACTCAAGTTGGCATTGCTCGTATAGTGGCTGATCAAGATCGTATTCCATGGGGTTTTTCAACATCCTAGGATACTTCTCACTCGGTTGTTATCTAGTCAATCAAGTTTTGGGTTGGTTGGAGAACAATTGGTAATAACTAGCAACGAACGCATAAATGAGAAAGCAGGTACTCGGAGCACCGCCCTCGCCCTAGTTACTCGGTATGTCATGCAAAATGATAGACTTGGCGGTTTATGGGGATGAAGTACGAGAATCACTAATATAAGAGCTAGCTCAATGGTCATGCAACAAACCATCCTCCTCATCTGATCCACTGACCCAATCTCATCTCAATCAGATCCACGAATTAGGGATACACTATATTCCTTTTTTCAATGGATTGTGCCCATATGCACACTAGGTCGATATGTCGATGGTCGCACACGTACCGCCCTAACATCACTTAGGTGGGCGTCCTAGTTGGCAGGGAATGTTCATCTCGTCCACCAACTAGGTCCCTAAATCAATCATCTATGCAAATCATGCCAAACCGCTCAATCCACAACACCTTCAATCAAACTGTAACTAGGTAATCAAAGATAGCATATGGAGAGACACGTTCAAAGCACAATAATCATAGAAAGATGCATAAAATACTAGACAAACACATTTCATTCATAAATTTAAGCAAAATTCCTCTTACATAACGAAACCTAAAACTAGATTTTGGGGACAAAGCACCTAGTACCTTGAGTGACTATCCCATGGGGGGGTGGGGGTATCACCCGTGGAGGCATTCCATAGGCAAGGACACAATGAGGCCGTCGCGAGATTAGGTGGGGAGAATATCAAGCGTGGCGGATGACTTGATGAGTGAAGTGGTGTGTCATGATCAAGTCAAGCACATGTGCCATTATGGATGACTAGTAGCATGAGATCCTTCTAGGATTCCCCATCTTAGATAAGCTTAATGGTGTACAAAAAGAGCCACATTATGAGGTGGTATAATGGTGTGCATTATGGGGGAGACATAATAGGATGTAGTAATGGGGGAGAACATTATGAGGGGCATTTTACACCTTGTAAGAGGGAAGGGCCTATATAAGGAGGACCTCCTCCTCATTTGTAGTCATCCATCATTTTTATGAGCAATACACTTTAGAGAGTTTATCCCATCTTCTCGAGTCTTTTTCTTGTGAGTTGAGTGAGTTCGAGTGAGTGAGAATGTTGACTTAGCACCTCAGACAGACTTGAGGGCTAAGGCAGCACGGGCGCGATTTAGGCGCGACTTGAGGGCTAAGACTTGAATGGCTAGCAGTGGTTCAAGGAAGAGTGTGTGCGCTCCCAAGCGAATACACGAAAGATGCGTTGGTTGTCATAAGCAACTGTCATTTTTGAACCAATCTGCTCGAGTTCTTGCAATGGCGGATCAGTTTGGTTTCATGAGGTCTTGTTTGAATGAGAAATGAGAGTATTCTTGTGGATCCTTGCAAGGGAGACAAGAACCTGAGTACTCTCATGTACCGCTTGTTACTCTTATTATGCTGCTTGTTCAACAATTGGGATCTTCTTTATAGTGACAATGAAACAAAGAAGTCGGATGAAAACTACTAGGATTGTGGGCGGCACGCAAGCAAGTAATCCTACAGTGTTTGCAAGAATCCTAAAGTGTCCTTAGTTTAAGTGTGTTTGGATATGTACATTATTGAAATACTAGCATTTAAAATACATATAATTAAATTCATTGTTTACATAGTCATTTATAATATTTAAGTATTTTAAATTTTAGATTTTAATTGTGAATCTTTTGGCCACTTACTACAAATTTTGGTAAGTTACATTTTGGTACCCAAATTTATTTTTTCTTAACACTTTAACTTATAAAATTTTACAAAATGGTCCAGAAATTTTCGTGGTAAAATTACATTTTGATACCTTTATATGTTTTTTCTCACACTATAGTACCTAAACTTTTAAAATTATACAAACAGGTACAATCTTTTGTTAGAAGGCATTTCAAATCACTAGTTATTGAAATATATTTGAAGTTGACAACACGAAAATGTTGTTTTCAAGTGGTGTAAAATATTAGAAACATGTTTTTTCCGTTGTAATTATGTTGTTCATAACCATATAATTAAGGTGTTTGGCTATTGTCAAGGTGTCTTTGGGGATATTTTCGTACTAATCATACTCATTTACTTGATTGTTAAATCATTAGTTAGGTTTAGATCCATCATTAGTGTTACGAGTCTTTTTCTATAAATATCTATGTTGTTGTACCTTTCAAATTATTAAAAAGAATATCACAGAAATTATCCCGAAATCTTAGTCTCTCTCAACCCTCCAAATATCTTCCTAAAGACCTCAACCATTCTATCCAATTCTGCCCAATTATGTTCTCATAATCCCCAATTTTCCTTCTTCAATTTCTAATTTTTATTCTCAATCTCTGAATATCTTTATATCTATCCCAGCTTATTACAAGTAATTACGAGTGCCCAACATCCATACACCCGAAAGAAAGCATATTTCTCTGTATTGGCCTTCAATCCAGAGACTTTTGGCAGCAGAGAAGGTCCAAAGCTCAAGTATGATTGATTGCAATTTGAATTAACTAAAAAAATGTACATTTGGGAGGTAATAAGATTTGATTGTGAAGTTTAGTTTTTCAGAAGGTGGAGTATAGTCGTACAATTCGATGGCGCAATGTTAAGAAGCATGGGCTTAACAATAATCAACTAGACTCCAGAAAACATGAAGTAACTACAGGTCCGTCACATCCTAGTCCTACTCGTACACGTAAAACTCTTTGTACATTATTATCAAAACTCACTAAAACTCTCCTTCAACGCAGACGCGCGTCTTCTACTTCTTTCCGGAGCTGCTGCACTTCCGCCCGCTGCTTGCAGGCCGTTTCTTCGGAGAAGAACAGTACTTGAGACGGTAACTCACGAGGGAAGGCCCGAAAGTGCTGTACTTCCCGGCACTGCTGAATGCCGTCTCTGCATCATCCCGCTTGCAGAATACTACCCTGGCCCGGCTGCTCTTCTTCAGGACCTGCGTCTCGGATTCCTGCAGCGTCCCAAAACGACCAAATATCTTGTTCAGCTCCTCCACTGTTGGAGCTGACTCGTAGTCCGTGAAGTTCAGGATCAAAGCGGTGGGGGATGGATCGTCGTCACTGGATTTCTCTTCTACCTGCTCACTCAGCGGCTTCTCCACTGCATCCGCTTCCTCACCATTCTGCTGCTCGGGAGTCCCAGTGCCGCCCTTTTCATCAGTTGCTGTGGGTTCAGCAGCTGCTGCCATCACCTCTCCTTCACCATTTTTAAATTCCGATATCGATTTTTCTTCGAGAGTTGGATCACCGCCTTCTTCCTCAAGAATTTTAGTTGCTGAAGAATCACTTTTGGTGGGTGATTTTTTCCCTTTGGATTTTGCAGACCTCTTTCTACTTCCTTGTTTCTTCTTCTCATCATCGTGGGATTTCAGTATTGGAGATGAACCATTCATTTCACTGGCCACCTTGAGGATGCTAAATCCAATTCCAAAACTTCCCTTTTTAGACTGGGAAGTGTTCTTACCACTACCTTCTGGAGATGAAAGAGTTTGGCTCTTCTTCACGGCCAAATCATCAAAACCTGAATCAGCAGCCTTTCGCTTCTTTCCGTCACTGGACTTCCCAACAGCCTTACTCTCTGATTTGCTTTTGATATTAGACGATTTGCTTTTATCATTCGATCGCCTCTCAGCAAATAAAGCAGCCAATGTTTTCTCTTTCTTGGCAGGGGTTTGCTCCTTGTCCACAGAATGGCGCTTCCTCTTTGAAGAAGAAGTCTTCTTTTCATTCTCATCATTGTCCTGAGTCGACTCCACCGTAGATAACGTAACATCTACTTGCTCATCCAACACAGTCCCAAGAATTTGGAACTCAGGCAGCTGAGAATAGCCCTTCCATCGACTTAAAGCCAACACCTGTGATCTTGCAGTTAAGAATTCCAGCCTATCAACCCCACCCAATGGTGACTGACCAATTCCCTTGATGTATTGGACAAGTTTCTCCGGGCGAAAAGAAGCTACACTAGAACATATTTCCCCTCCATCTCTTCTACAATACTCATCCTTAATTCCAGGATTGACAATTACCTGGGTTTTGATCTCCTTGTACTCAGCTACACAAGGACACGCTAGGCCAAACTCCACACGTCGGGCGACTTCATCAAGAGCGCAATCAATGGCGTCGTGAAATTCCTCCGAATTGCTCTGCTTTGCCATCTGGGAGAAATGGGCACGGAAGGGCTTTATCTTTGATGTCTCATTCCAAGCGAAACTCTGATCCCCAAAATAAACTATCAAATGGCGCTCCTTCTTCATATACTTCTTTGCCTGGTCAGATGCAGCGGAGGTATCGAATATCTGCGCCGGCCACCATGGATGGCTCCTTACTTTGCCCCATACTAAATCAGAATCAGCAAATTTGGATCTCCAAAGACCGCCTTTCGTGTTAGTTCCGACAGTGGAGGGAACAAGATCTGAGTTATCAGGCTTACTTTTCCCGCTCTCTGGTAACGTTACATTTCGAGGTTCCGTTTTTGGTTCCTCAATTTCCATTTTCTGATCTTCGAGATGCTTGATGGTCTTTCCGTGTTCGGAAACCCTATTGTGCGAGCTTCCAACAGGGACTTGCCTTTCCGGCGTTTCAGCATCCTCATTCCCAAACACCTGATGAGAGGAATCGTCGCTCTGGACTTGGATTGCGCAGGCGTCGGTTGTTGCTCCTTCTTCTTCTTCCTTAACCTGACAAGATCCATTTGATTCAACCTTTTCGGAAGGTTCTTCTTCACCTCCTTGCACGCCAAGATCCAAAATCTCCACATTCGCCTTCACCGGACCAAGTCCCGTTTCCGAGTCATCAACTCCTCCATCACTAGATTCCACTTTACCTTCGCAGCCTTTCGACTCATTCGCCCCTACGACATCCAGAACTCCTTCGCCTCCCCGCTTTACCACTACTCCCGAATCCTCAACTCCTCCATTACTAGATTCAACTCTACCTTCGGAGTCCTTCAACTCATTAGCAGCTTCGACATCCTCCGGAACTCCTTCAATTTTCACCGTTTTCGAATCATCAACTCCTCCATTACCAGATTCCACTTCCCCTTCACAGACTTTCAACTCATTACCCACTTTGACTTCCGGAACTCCTTCAATAACCGTCTTTTCCCCCTCGCCGTGACCGTTGACAGAGTCAGCTAGGGTTTCAGCACCCGAAGAAACGACCACCGGTTCAGCAGAAAGAGCACCGGAAGCATTTTTTGCCGGTACGGCGGAAGCGCCGTGGGTGTTCAAGTCGATGTCGTCCAGATCCCCGGACATAACTTCTACTTCTACACTTTGAAGAAAACCTAACGTCAACGGCGCAAAAGAAGAGTAAATTGAAATCGAAGCCGCAAAGAAAAGAAAGAGAGGGACGAGACCAACCTTGCCTTTCCGGCAGCGGAGACGACGCCGCCGAGCTTAAGTAATTGTAGTTTTTTTCGGAAGGGAAGAGGGAATTTTGTTTCCTTCGGAGTTTTTCCTTCCGCTACGGGGACATTTGTTTGACGTTGAGGGGAAAGGAAGGAAGGGCGAGAGCGAGACGGAAAAATAGGCAACAGCTGGCCGCTTGCCGTGGGGGTTTCAGTGCTTGCTCCCGTTGGTAGCGTACGATGTTCCGTTATGCCACGTGGTGGGATTCTGACGGCTTGATTAAGGAGATTGGTTTTACTTCTGGCGGCCGAGGGATCAATCAAGTTCAGGTGGGCGATGGTGTGGGGCTGTGGGCTCAATATTCTCGCCACGTGTCGAGAATAAAGAACATTAGCGACGCTGTGGCCTGTGGGGCATTTGCCTGTGTTTTATATGGAACTGCTAGCCCAACCCAAAAGCTGATAGATGGGCCGGGTCCAAAAATAGCCTGGCCGCTTCTATCGCATCACGTACAACTTTTATTTGATGTTACATACTTTTTTTTATAACTCAAGAACATCCTAACGCACACACAGGTTCACCTAGGGGTGGCTATACGGTCCGGTCCGGTTAAATTGGCCCAAATTGATCCGGTCCAGTCCGGTTTTTTTGAAAATATAAGGACCGAAGATTGGATTGGATACAGTCCGGTCTTGATCCGGTCCGGTCTTGACCCGGTCCGGTCCCAATTCGGTCTTGATTTTATATTGAGGTTGTGGGAATTTGAGTGGCCTAAGGCCTAAAAGGGTGAGGAGTTGGTTAAGTTTTGTACTAAGTACAAAGGTTTGTGACCGTTTATGCAAATTATCCTTAAGTTTTGGGTGTTGAGCTCTCTTATCCGGTCTTTATCCGGTTTTTTACCTCAAATCTAAGCCCAAAGATTGGATTGGATTGTTTACTATCCGGTCCCGGTCCGGGTTATACGGTCCGGTTTCCGGTTTTTCATCCGGTCCTGGTCCAAATAGCCAGCCCTAGGTTCACCTGCTTGATTTACTTCGTCCATCCATGTGAATCTCCATTAAATGCATTCGGAAACATCATATAACGGACCTCGGTAGGGGTCGAACACGGAAACTGCAACTTCGCGGAACGAGCGCCCACTAAGGATTTCACAATTAGATTATGTGAACTTTGGCGATATTACATATCGTTTGAAACCAAAAAAATTTGAGAATTTATTACTTTAAATGAATTCCTATATTTTGAATGTAATATTTAAAAATTTAGAAATAAATTGAATTAATTAAATTCTCAAAACATGTATGTAATATGTTCAGAATTCAATTAAATTACCCTTATTAATTTTCAGCAAAAACAACATTCCAATTAGTCATTGAAAATTCATCTTCTTCTAACTCCAAATAATTGATCAAATGGTAATGTGAAGAAGGAAACATCTACCATTCTTTGAATAATTGAAACATTGAGGTCAACAACAAACGAAAAAAATAATTTTCTAAAAAACACAAGTGCCAAAATTCTCATCCGACCAATATGACAACAAAAAATGAAGTTCCTGAAAAGAGAACGATCAATATTACCATCAAACACATACCAACATGGATTGCACACATATATCAAGCAAAGAAAAAGAAACATAGATCGTAACAACTGAAAAATAAGGAACAACAATCTTCATAAAAAAGAAAAGCAACCGCAAGTAACATATGTAAATGAGATACATGTATAGGTGCACCATATGCATAAATCTAATATGACAGAGTGATGGATGATGTTGATTATGAGTAATAGCAACATTGCAGATTAGCCGAAGAATAAAACTCAGAGAGTCGTTGAAAAAGCACGCAAAAGAAGGTGTAAGAGCAAAATCAAGATTAGATATATTCACTCCTCTTCCCGTTGGTCGAGCTGTAACATCTTCATATATGTCAAGTGACTTTCTTCCTCTCCTTTCGTTGTAAGTAGCGGTTGAGCAAGCAAGTTTCGGCGCGAAATCTAGAGCATTGGCGCCAATACCATATATAAGTAAAATTTACTTAATTGTCATTTTATCATAAATAGTAAATTATTTTTGGAATTCGTTCGAAATTTCATAATTGATAAAACCAGCTATAATTTCATTTATACCGAACAACATGTTAAGGATGACATGTTGTCAGTAGATGGATCTACATTACTCATTGTTCATAGGGTTTTGACAAAGGACTGGATTAACATATTTGTGAAATTGTTCATAGGATTTGAAGGAATCTACTATTGACTCCAGCTCTATACAAATGCAGCTCTGTTCTTCCAGCCGTCACACTGATCTCCGTATCCGCAGCTGCAAACACGACATCCCCTTCCACCACCGCATCTCTCATCAAAGACCCCGTCGCCAACATCGCTCCTTCCCCGCTCGCGATCACAAAAATGGACGGTCCTTCCACCGCCGGAAACACCGCCGACTCCCCTCCCGGCAGCAAGCACCGGTCCACCTCGAACTCGTCGAACGGCGGCAGATACCTCGTCGTGTACGGATTCAGAGCAAACCCTTTCAAGATTTCAGGACGCCCCTGCATTCCCACAAACCGGAAAAAAAAGGCTTCACTTCCATTTTCCTTTCCTGTTTTCATGTTATTGTCACAAACCAGTTGGTCCCAATAACTCGAGTTATTGGGAGAGATTCACTCGTGGATCTTATACCACTCTCTAACACGCCCCCTCAAACGAAAGCCAACTCATGGGCTTGAAGTTTGCACAGGCCCACCATACCATGTGCTTGAAAGACAACGGTTAATATTGGGGGTCGTGGAGATTCGAACACATGACCTTTCGGTTCTAGGCTCTAATACCATGTCACAAACCAGTTGGTCCCAATAACTTGAGTTATTGGGAGAGGTTCAATCGTGGATCATATACCACAACACTAACAGTTATAAATTTGACAACGAGAAAATTTGTTTACTTTTCATTCCGTTTTGTATTCATTTTCCAACTATGAAAACAAAAAGTGACAACTTTCTGTTGTTTTCGAAAACGTCAAAAATGTAGTAAAATGGGTTTACCTGTTTGTAGGTGAGCATGGAGCAGAGGGTTCCGACGTCTCGATACTTGGGAGTGAGTCCAGCTCGGACGACGTTGTCCGACGTGGCCATGACCTCGATGCACTCGCCGGCCACGTAAGCGTGCGGCTCGTTTGCCCCGATGTACAGAGCTTGGCCAGGTTTGAGCTTCACGTAGTTGAGGAACAGGGCTGCTATGACGCCGACATCGCCTGGGTATTGCCTCTCCAGTTCCAGAACCAGGTTTTCCTTCTCCGTTAGCTCCCTCCCCTGGCTTTCCCTCTGCAATCTGTTCTTCAGGTTGGACGCTGACTCAGCTGCCGCCTCCTTGCTGGCGGACATTAGTTGGGTGAAGATGGATTTCAATCTCGACTTGATTTCGAGTCCTCCGTCGTTCTGTTCGTCGTTGACTTGCAGCAGTTGGTTTGCATCTTCGGCGTTGACCACTTCCTTGATCTCTGGAGTGTTCTGCAACAAATCTTTGAGCTCCTATATACGCGGGAGGAGACAATTATTAACAAATTAATGTGTGTGTAAGAAAGATCTCTTGTTATAAAAACAGGACATGGATGAAAGTAATACCTGAAGAGAAATGAAACCACAAAGGGCGTGGAACTCTGACAGGGCCAAAGCCATTTCAGGTTTGTGATTGTCGTCCTTGTAAGCAATTGGGTGCGACTTGTGGAGCTGCTTCGCCAGTTCTTTATCCGGGTGCGCTTGAATTGATAGTGCTTCAGCCACAGAGAGTATCTGCCAGGAAATTATTATGAGATTTGGATAAATTTGTGCTTTCGGGTTAGAACAAGAAAGTAAACACATGTAGATTTACGCGATTTACTGACCGAATCGAACTTACACCAGGAAGGAACTCAATTCCATGTTGAGACAGAGAAGAAGAAAAGGGGACATGTTACATGTGTCATGACCCAGTTGCTCACAATAACTCGAGTTGTTAGGAGATGTTTAATCGTGGATCATATACCACAACACTAGCACGCTCCTCCTCAAACGGAAGCCACTCACAAGGGCTTGAAGTTTGCACAGGTCAGAAGACAAGAATACCATGCGCTTAACAAATGGAGGTCACAGGGAATCGAACGCAAGACCTCTCGGTTGCTCACAATAACTCGAGTTGTTAAGAGAGGTTCAATCGTGGATCATATACCACAACACTAACGACATGTATGTAGGAGAGAGAGTACCTTGAACAAGAAGGGGAGATGAGGTCCCCAGTTGGTGAAAACCTTGTGGCCGAGCGCAGCAGGATTTTGGGCAATCCAGTCTTTCAAACTCGACTCGCCGTTGTCGTCGCCGGAGACGACGAAAGATGGGCCGGAGTCGTGGACACCCATCCAGAGTTCGGCATAGGGCTTGTCCGGTTGGATTTCGGAGCGGGAGTTGAAAGCAGAGAGCCTTCCGACCAGGGATTCCGGCCCGACTCTGCCCCAGTCGTAGTGCTGAACAGAGCATCGAAGCCGGAGGAGCCTCCGGTGGTTGTTCGCCGCCAATTCAGACCCCATTCGAGCCTTGATGCGTGTGTTTCGTTTCCTCGGGGAACTCCTTGGAAAAAGGCCGTGGAGAATAGTGAGGAGATCGAAGGAATTTGGACAGAGCAGAGGCAGAGGCAGTTTCCTCCTCTTCAGCGGTTTACTCAAACGGAACGGTATTATCGCTTTCAGTCATTGCCTACAAAACCAACACGCACGTACGTACATTGATTGAGGAGGGTTTGGATTTTGAACGCAAACTGTCGTCTGCTGGGAGAAGTTTCCTAGTGTATTATATCTCCCGGTTTTATTTCTTTTCCTTATTCACCTAGGATTTTTATTTCTTTCCTTATTCTCCCGGTTTAATTTCTTACCTAGTATTTTGTTTTTTCCTTTAGTATTTAAGGCCTTGTCTATTGTTGATCGTCGGTAATCTAAGTTGCCCCTATTAGGATGACAATATTACCCATATCCATGGGTATTTTACTATCCAACTTAATTGGGTTGGGTATAGAATCCAAATAGATGTTAGATGGGTAGAGTTTGATGAATTTGTACCCAATTACCAATACCTATTTACTTGGGTTGGGTTGGGTTTTTAATATATGGATTTGGGTTTCGTACTTATACTCAAATGCAAATTACAGTTTGGTACCTAAACTTAATAGTTATGTATATATAATATCTAAATTAATTTTTTTTTCATATAAGTCCTCAAAATATCGATGAAAAATTACATTTTAGTACCTAAAATTTTTTGGTCTCACATTTTGGTGCCTAAACTTATCAAGTTTTACAAATAGGTCCAATTTTTGTATGTGTAGTTAAAACACCCTCAAATAAATGGATATCCATATCAAACCCATACCCATTTAGATAAATATCCATATCTAACCCAAACCCATATACAAATGCCAAACTCATATACACATCACCCAAACCCTACCCATAATAAATGGGTCTACTTGGGTTTGGGCAAAATTACCCATGGGTGGGTAAATAGTCATTCCTACCCGCTGTAAACACATTAAGCTCATCACGTAAAATTTCCGTGTTTCGTTTCTTTCTCATTTTTTTGCGTTATCTTTTTCATTCTGGTATCAGAGCGGTCATGAGCAAAGAAGAATCAAGCACGGGGCCACGGGGGAGAAGGATATCAATCTTCCTCCACCCAAGATCATTGGCCCAACGTCTCATTTATATCTTCATCCATCATATGCACCAAGTATAGTATTTGTTGGGGATTTACTCACATATTTGAATTATGGAGAGTGGTCTACGGAGATCTCCAACACCTTCATCGCCAAGAACAAGCTCGGTTGCCATCCGTTGGAGCTTGAAGACCAGGATCGATTGGAGTTCAGCAGCAACAACATGTATTTTGTGTAACATGAAGTGTGATAGGAAGAGAAGGAAGTTCGACGCGTTCAAGGTGGCCAGGGACGTTCATAGGTGCATCCTTCGTATGGTGGACTTGTACAACCTTAAAATTCGTGAGTTCACTTTCGTCTGAAGACGCGCGTAAAGAGTAATGTAAAATAAATAATAACCTTATACCCAACACCTCCAGTTATTCATGTCAATTGATTTGCGGCAATTCTTAATTAGTCTTTAATTTTTTATTGCTCATCTTTTTGGTGGATTCATTTTGGTATATTATATCTTGCAAAACAAGTAACATCACGAAAATCATGCAAACACATGCAACCGTCTTAGCCGACATAATTCAATGTCTCTCCTTAAGGAATCTTATTCCCCTCTAGTACCCAAGGTTACGAAACGATTCCTCCCAGGATAGAAAGGACAACAACAGTTGTTGAAGAAACAACGGGTATAGCACAAGAGGCCGCTGAAGAAGGTGTTCTGGAGTTGCAGCTTTTAGGAAACTAGCTTTCTATGGTGAACGTGCTTGAACTGGGTGAGCTACAGTCGAAGGAAATCATTCTGGTGACCAATTATCACTGCCAGCAACGTTCAAGATGTTGTGCCAGATTCTCGAGCTCCTATGTGTTAAATCTAGTCCAGAAGGATTAGATAAAGATGCCACTACCTCAAGGAACGAGAATCGATCAATACAAACCTACTGTATCGATCCTGGAGGGAGGAGAATTGATCTTGTCAATTCTACAGAACCCGATAATTTCGACATCGACGTTCAATTCTGCAAATTGAACGACGACTTGCTTCGAAGTTCATGGATCGAAACACTTGTTTGTCTAGCTGTTTGAGCTTTGGATTCCTTGGAATTGTGGAGTCTATATGTTCTTTCTTGATGATGATTATGCAGGAAATTGTGTTTGAAAGCCAGGCTGCGACTAGACCTAGCAATTGGGTAGGGTTGGGGGCATCGGATTACGGGTTGAGCCATGTTGGATTGGCTGATTTCGGGTCAAATATTGACTCAACCCACCGTGCTTCAGGTCGGGTTATAGGTCATTTCGTGTTATGAGCGCTCTCATAAACAATACCAAACATGCTTCATATTTTTTTAAAGAACACAAATCTTCACATATGCATGACAATAGTTTACCTAACATATGTCAATTAACGTATTCTCAAATCCTCCTATTCTAATGAAATAAATTACAAATTGCACAAATTGTCAAAAAACAATCACAAGAGTGACACTACTACAAGAAACACATGATATTTGATTATTATTAAACTCCAAACATGTCTTTCAAATCCTTGTGATTTGTTTTAAACATCTCACTAATTTATTAGTGATTTCATCATTTTGGGAGCGACATATGAAATGAAATTGGTCAACCAGCTAACCTACTCAACATGACCCAAAAAATTGCGAGTTAATCGGGTTCACGTTATTCAGGTTTTGAGTTATAAGAACTTCAATTTTTCAGTCGGGTTGTAATTTGTCAGGTCTAGCTGGGACGCTTGTTTGGATCGAGAGCTTTGTGGATTTCTTGAATTCAAATGGGAGAATGATGCATGGTGTTTTACACAAGTTTTGAGAGCAAAATTTCTTCAACGGGGAGGGACTGATGTAATTTCCCTCGGCCTAGTCATCAAATTCCCTGACCGGGGGAATCATGAGGGTGACCGAGGAATTGCAACAGAGACCCCCCCAGTCGGTTGAGTTAAATCCCTGATCGGGGATCGGGGCTGACGAGTTAAAATTACCCTTTTGTGTTAGGATTCTTTTCATTTTCAAGTTTTTGATTAGTTTTATTTTTTCAGGCCTATTTAAAGGTTGTAAACACGAGTTTTAGGACAGACTTCAATTATTATTGAAATTTTACCCTAGTTCATCAAGTTTTTGGCTTGTGAATTTTGCTCTCTTTGTTGGTGGACTACAATCGTGTTGAGTGTGTCTATGTATATATCAAGCATCCATCTTGATTGTGGTCGAGGCTTTTTACCTTTATATTGTTCGAGCGTCTTCCCGATTTCGTGTTGAAGTTACACGTTCAATTCTGTCTTATCCTTTTATTTTTTTCGTGTTGTTGAGAAAAGTTCAGAAAACCCTAAAAGATAGTAGCTGCGCGACTTTAAAAAATACGAGTGGTTTCGTGCTCGTATCACAAATGTTAGAATGCAACACCCGATATGTATTGAAATTCGCGGCTGAGTTGTATTCGTTGTCTGCATCAAGCAGGTGATTCATAGTAAGTGGGAGAATAACTTGTTGAAGGATGGGACGAGGATCAACATCCTTCGTCTTCATAATGTTAGTGTTGTGGTATACGATCCACGATTGAACCTCTCCCAACAACTCAAGTTATTGGGATCAACTGGTCCATGACACATAATTATCCGGAATCGATGATGGTCCTCAAAATCGTCAAGGCAGCTTATATCAGTAACTTAGACTTAAGCTAAAAACAATTTTTATTTTTGGTAAAAAAAAAAACAATTTTTTTTTGTCCTGCTGCTTCAAGAAAAAACACCATTAGTAATGGATCCATCCTTGATTGAGAGACAAGCTTGTATCTGTTTGTGGAACAGTGGTGAAGGTTAGCACGGTGAAGCCTCTGGTTGTTCAAATGAGTTCCGATTGTGAAAACTGTAAATCCAGCATTGTAAGGGTGCTTTCACCAGCGTATATTCGCAATTTAAACATACGCAAGAGAAAAAAAATTCAAACCACTCAAATCTTCAGCTAAAGCAATAGATTTTCAGAAAATAAGGCATATGGTAGAGAGTAGAGTTTGAGACTTCCTTTTTACTTGCATTTCCTTGTTACTCTCCTTCAATTTTTGTCTATTCACTTGGAGAACTGCCTGACATAGATTGCTGGAGTCACTTAACCCTCAAGATCATCAAGAAGGGAGAGTGCCTCCAACTGTAGAATGTGAGCTTACAGAGGACCTTGTTGATGGTGCATTCGTGGAGATGTTTGACAAAAACAACTGCTTTTCCTAGGTGCAAACATCATCTTATTCGCGGAGTCAATCGTCCAGGTGAAGGCCCTAAAGTTCTTCATACACTTGCTTTAGAAGGTTGATCAAGTCGTTTGTATATGCGTAAACCTGTGGTTTCACATGCTTGCAGAACAACTTTGACATATCTCACAACAGCATTTGTTCATATGCTATCAGTTTATATTCCATGAAAGTTGTGTTCATCATTTACAATACAGAAGCCATCACTTTGGTTCACTACAAGAATCAGTGATAATGTATATCCACAAATTGGAAGCTTCCTCTGCTACATATAGTGTACAACAACAAACATAACATATTTGCGTTGGTATAGGAAGTAACTAACCTTCTCAAAGGAATCTATCCTCAACCAAGGGGTCAAGTCGCCACTCGCTCCCATAGTACTCATTCGGCAGACCCAACCAAAACTTGAAAGCCTCGGCAGCTCTCTTCCTCTCCTTCCTCCGGTCCTGCCTCGCTTGTGAAGCGTGTTTACTCGTAAACATCCTGGAATGCATCTCCACGTAAATCTTCTTGTACTTGGACTTGTTTGGTGGTATTCCATGCTCTTCCATGCAGGCCACAATCTCCAATGCCTTCTGGAAGAAGGCACCTCTCACGCAGATATCAGCCAGAGTATCAAGCAGCCCTTCATCAGGGTTCAACCGCGGGACAACAGAATCCGCTTCTGAATTCTTCTCTCCTTTCCTCGCTTCGCACCTATCCTTCACTTCCTTCCACAGCAGAAGAGCTTCTCCTGGTTTTCTTGACAACGATATCCCATTGGCTAGACTTCCATAAGTAGCCACATCAGGGTAAAACCCATTCTCCTTCATATTCTCTATCACTCTCTTCGCCTCCTGAACCAACCCTATCTTGCAATACCCTTCCACCAACATGTTCCAGGCGACCAAATCAACTTTGACTCGTGTATCCTTCAGCATTTCGTCAAACACCTTGTGAGCCAGCTTCGGCTGACCAGACGAGGCGAAGGCTTTCATCAGCGTAGTGTAGCTGATCTTGGTTGGCGGAATCCCTTTCGCTCGCATCTCGTTGAAGAAACTAAGGGCCTCGGCGCTATCATCCACCTTTATACACCCATCGATCAAAATGTTGTACGAAACAACATCAGGTTCAATTTCAGCATTACCTGTCATCTCCATCAACAGCTCCTTTGCTTTGTCGATCTGCAGCTGCTGACAATACCCCTTCAAGAGAATGTTGTATGTAATCCTATTCGCCGGCACACCAATCCTCGCCATCTCGGCCAGCACTTGCCGAGCTCGATCCATGGCACCCACCTTCACAAAAGCAGAGACCACCGTTGTATACGTGACGTGATCAGGATGGCTCGCTTGGTCGTCCTGATGCCTCATCGCTTCCAGCATTCTAACAGCGTCAGCAGCTCGACCTTGCTTCATGTACCCTTTCATCAATGTCGTGTATAGTCTTGAGTTTGGAGAGTAAGATTTAGGCAGCAATGGTGGCTCGGTTTCGTTACCATCTTCAACGGAATTAGGAAGCAACTTCTCAAACACGACTGCCTCATCATCTACATTCCCATTTTCATCTTCATCATCTTCATCGTCGTCGTCTTCCCTCGATGCCTCGTCATTCGCCTCCCTCATAATCTTGCACAAATCTCTCCTTCCTTCTCTCAAGGCCTGAACCAGCTTCTCAGCAGTTTCTAGATCCCCAAACACTACATAAGCCGCCACGAGGGAATGGAGAGTGGTCATACAGAACGGGACTCCCTTCTGGATTGCAAACTCGACGACGAACACCATCAAGTCCTTCCTGTTGCAACGGGCGCAGAGCTTTATCATGACATTGTAGGTCAAGATGTCGGGATGGAGACCGAGCTCAGGCATTTCGTCGAACAGTTGGAGGAACGTTTTGGTGTCCCCGATGTTGGCGCAAGCGTTGAGAGCGTTGTTGAAAGCGGCAGTGTCCGGCATGGAATCGCGGACCATCTCCGGGTCGGGGAATTTCCGCACTCGTCGGACTATGGATTTGAAGAGCTTTAGGGCCAAGACGGGGCCGTCGTCCGGGGAGGAGGCCAGGCGGCTGACCACCGCGGACCAGGCCTTGACGTGGGGGAGGTAGCCGGAGCGGAGCATGGAGTTGATGACGGAGGCGGCGTAAGGGAGCTGGCCGGACTTGGTGGCGGAGACGGCGAGGAGGCCGAGGGAGTTGGCGTCGAGGCGGTGGAGCTCGCGGTCATGGCGGAGGCGCGTGAGGATGGACTGAGCGCGTGCGAGGGAGAGAGGGGAGTTTTGGAGGGAGAGTTGGGAGACCAGGCGGCTCAGGCAGGTGGAATTGGGGAGGTGGTGAGGGGATGACGCCTCGTACACCGCCCACGCCTCGTCGGTCTTCCTCTGGCGGAGGAGGAGGAGAAGGGCTTGGTCGCTGCCGGAGGCGGAGTAGGGGGCGGGGGTAATGGCGGTGGTGGTGGTTTGCACGCAGAACGAGCGCGCGGATCTGGAGTGGGAAGCGGACGGCGGGAGGGAGAAGCAGTGGAAGGGAAGGGTGAGAGGGAAGAGGTTAAGGAGGGAGAGCGAGGAGGAAGGAAGGGGTGTGCTCATGGCTGCTGCTGATGGCGGCGGAGACGGTGGTCGGAGTCCATCTAATGCGGCGAGAATTCGGAGAGCTGGTTGGCGGTAAAGGAAGAAAGGGGGAGAGGATAATGGAAGCTTGTGGTGTGGAGAGGTGCTACCAAGGCAAAATTTGAGCGGCAGTGGAGTAGCTCCACAGAGCTCGAGTTTCGCAATTCGCACCTTTTGCTTTATTCGTTCCACCGCCACGTCAGTAAACCAAAATTCCACTCTTTTCATTTATCATTTTTTTTTGCAAAATCCATCTGTATAGCCAAAACTTTAACGTTTGTGACAATAATAGCTACTTTTGGAGAAATCATTGGCGCGTGTGTAAACGAGGTGCTCTACAAATGCGATGGTCATCGGTTCGACTCCGATAGCCGGCTTTTTCTATTTGTTTGGTTTTTCATTTTTACATGATTGATAGTGTCTTTTTGAAATCAAAGAATGGTGAAAAGGCTTCTTACCCTTTTTGCTCAGATACCCGTAAGTGAGGCTTTTTTGGGTCGTGTTATAAATGCTTTAGCTAAACCTATTGACGGTCGAGGTGAAATTTCCGCTTCTGAATCTCGCTTAATTGAATCTCCCGCCCCGGGTATTATTTCGAGACGTTCGGTATATGAGCCTCTTCAAACAGGACTTATTGCTATTGATTCGATGATCCCCATCATTCAGATAGATGGGGGTAAGTTAATGAGTTCAGATATTAATGAACTCTATAGAAGAGTTATCTATCGGAACAATACTCTTACTGATCTAGATATCCAAAAGGCTAAAGGAAGAACCAGTCACGTTGTTGTGGAATAAGAAGCCTTCGTATCTTAATGCATGTATTTAATTTATTCGGAGCTATTAGAGCGGGATCCACTTTTTGGGGAATATGAGTCGAAGCAATAACAAGAATATTTCTAGTGGAACATCTTTCACAATCCCTGGAGAGATAGTTCACTAATAGACCGAGGGATAAGTAATTCGACTCATTCACAGATTACTCCGATTAAACCATGTGGAAGGGAAGGAAGACCTTGGCGTCTTGATGCATCGAATCTGCTCAAGTTGAAGAAGCTGTGAACAAAGAAGAAACTCTTGCCACTTTCGGTCTAACCGCAGTTGGTTGAAAAGGGCAGAGTTCCATTTGGTGGGTGGGTGACGGGCGAATAGGTAAGGTGGTTAGGCAACGGGAGAATGTTCAGCACGGATTCTTATAGTACTGTTCGAGGAGTCGATAAACTAATTCCTGTAGATGTCTATTTGCCGGGCTGCCCCCCTAAACCCGAGGCCGTTATAGATGCTATAACAAAACTTCGTAAAAAACTATCTCGCGAAATTTATGAAGATCAAATTAAGCCTCAACAGGGGAATCAGTCTCAAGCAAGTCCAAGGCAAGTAGGAGAATCTTTCTAAGAATCCTCTTTTTGGCTATACTATATCGATGTTCGATTAATCCTAATAGTTAAGGGATCCTTCGGCTCATATCCGATCAAAAACTTTATTTCTTAAAAGGATTTAATCCTTTACCTCTCAATGAAAAATTCGAGAAAGAATAGACATTCTCGTAATTTGTATCCGATTCTACGAAGAATTCTAGAAGAAATTCTTCGAATTAATTGAAATTTTTGATTGTTTTTAATCAGTGGTATTGGACAGAATCCATACTCGATCTCATAGATACATATAGAATTCTGTGGAAAGCCGTATTCGACGAAAGTCGTATGTACGGCTTGGACCATGTCTCCCGAAAAAACAGAAAAAAAAATTTATGCTTAATAAAGCGGGTGGGTAAAAAAAACATTTCATGATTCGTATATATAGTGAGGGATTATGGGACAAAAAATAAATCCACTTGGGTTTAGACTTGGTACAACTCAAGGTCATCATTCTCTTTGGTTTGCACAACCAAAAAATTATTCTGAAGGTCTAGATTTATCATTTGTTAATTTCTTAACAGAAGATAGAGATATACCTATCTATCTTAACAATGAGTAAATTATTGAATGAAGGCGGGAGAAATGGTTTTTTTTATGGTTTTCTGGCCAAAAAATCCTTTCTGGAAAGGATCTTTTGTATTCTTTTTTTCTTTTGCTAGGCCTGTAGCTAAAAAACCTACTTTCTTACGATTACGAGGCTCATTCGAATATGAAATCCAATCCTGGAAATACAGTATTCCGCTTTTTTTTACTACCCAGGGCTTCGATACATTTCGAAATCGAGAAATTTCTACTGGAGCCGGTGCTATCAAAGAGCAAAAGAGGGCATTCGATGCATCAATCCCATTCTTGCTAAGAGCTGAAACTTGACTTCTTAGTTCTCATCAATATGAACGATTAAAGAAAAACTGAAAAAAAAATTCGGAATGTTCGGAATGAAGGGGTTCGCTTTGACCGTTAAGAGTAAATAACCCCTTTCCTGTGTCTTTATTTCTATTGCATTCTATCTCATCATATCACATTTTGTTCTGCGATATTTGAGAATCACCGTCAATACCTCGGTTATTGAGATAGGTAAACCAGAGGGATTCCCCCTCCGAGAACCGTATATGAGAATTTCCTCTCGTACAGCTCAAACAGAAAGACCCAAATATTAGTTGAAACGGATATGTGGAATAGAAACTTCTTAATTGATTCAAGAAGCTTCTTTCAAGACGAAGATGTCGATAGGAAAAGAAAATTCCGGCAAATGGATCTGCAGGTTCCCCAATCATTGATGGTTCTAGAACTGCTAATCCTACATTACATGCAAAATCTTCTCTTCTTCACGAAAAGCCCGGTGAATTGCCCGACCGTTGGTCATGTTGAGGTGCCGTCCTTCGGTCGAACTCTCCCCCTCTCCTTTCAGTCGAGCATATTGATAACCTCTCCTTTCAGTCGAGCATATTGATAACCTCTCCTTTCAGTCGAGCATATTGATAACCTCTCCTCTCACTTTCTTTATGGAAATGATAATGGTAAACCGATTCGGGGAATTTTGGACACAAGTATTCAATTAGTTCGGACTTGTTTAGTGTTGAATTGGGATCAAAACAAAAAAGGTTCTTCTATCGAGGAAGCCCGCGCTTCTTTTGTTGAAGTAAGTATAAAAGGTCTGGTTTGTAATTTCCTCAAAATCCGCTTATTGAAATCCCATATTTCATATATTAGCAAAAAAAGGAATGATCCCCGAGGTTCCGAAGAGCAGCGTGTCTACCGATTTCACCATAGCGGCTTGTTCGAAATCATAATAACCCATTTTTACTCAATCGTCGAGCTTGAAAGAGTCAATTCAAGGCAATATTTTTAAGAGCTAAGTTTAATAGCCAGAATTTTGAAAGTTTGATGACAATAATAGCCATTTCCGTCCAAAACTTTAACGATGTTACAAAATTATGTTTGTTAGGTTAACGGTATGCTGACGAGAATGCCAAATCATTGCCACATCAGCGACAACTCAGCCTTAATTGCCACACAGATGCCATGTCACAATTCACTTCTAATATATCTTATATTTATTTTTCATTTAGAAAAAAAATTATCTTCTCTTTCCTCCCTGCCTTCTTTGTCTGTTGCCTTCTCCCTCTTCACGAACCAACCTTTGTCGATTCCCCGATTCCCCCGCACTTCTTCACCAAACTTCTCCCCCGAATCCCCCGCACCCACCCATCTGATCGTCGCTCCAGCCCATCCCTTCAATCGCTCCAGTCGACTGGTCGGGCATCTCTGGGAGTCTGGATTTCGCCTCAACCCTAGAATTTGGGGAAATAGGTTTATGATTGACGATCTCGACACCGCTAACTACGCAAACGACGAGACTCACACAACAAAGTGTTCCATCTCAGATCCGGCTATGATTGATGACGACCGCTTCCAATTCGACGACGGCGAGATCGAGAGATGAAGGGCGGCAGCGGCTAGATCGAGAGATGAAGGGAGGCGGCGGCGGCGAGATCGAGAGATGAAGGGCGGTTGCGGCTGAATCCTTCTTCTCTAATTCACTCGACCAAGAGAGATTGGGGGCAGGGTCATAGCGGACAAGAGCTACGGCGCAACGACAATCCAAGCAACAGCCGGAAGGGTGTGGGGTTTCAAAATGGTGGTGGTGGGCTGGGGGTATCGACGACAGAAGATGGTAGGGATGGATTGATTGATCTCAATAATTAAGGATTATGGAAGATTGATTAATGGGCTTGTTCTGGGTAGGAAAAGAGATGGGAGAGATTCCGCTGGGAAGGGGAAGGAAAAGAGATGGGAGAGGAAAAATAAAAAAAATAATTTATTTTTATTTTCCACCTCACACTTTAATTGAATAATTGTGGCCAACTCAGCCTCTCCGTTAGTCCAGTCAGCTATTTGGTTAACACCGTCAAACAATTGGAAGGAATTGGCTATTTTTGGTATTTCGCCAAAAGTGGCTATATTTGGCCAAACCGTCAAAGTTTTGGCTATACAAGTGAATTTTGCCTTTTTTTTTTAACTCAAAACACAAGTTCTCTTAAACCGTGGAGCATTGTTCATGAAACCGTACCGGAAAAGTCAGCGGTATAATTATTTGTGGCAAAATCTTGGTTTAACCGTAGTTCAACTATTAATGTCGTTAACTACCGTCTATTGATTTAGCCTCCGTTATTGGTATTTTGTGCTTGAACAGTCTGTACGGTTTCATGGACCATGTTGTGGAGGATGGGAGCCTCCAATCAGGAATTAGGAGTGGGAAGGGGTCTCCTAATTTCAATCCTCGCTGGCCGGAAGGGATCTCCTAATGTTCTGGGGATGTCTCTATTGCAGCTACAATACGAGTTGTAGTAGGATCTCATCTTTGATGTTCTGCCATCACTCTTTCCCACAACTTTGCAAACTTTTGGTTGGTGCCAACCGCTACATTTTTTTATATCGACACCCAAGTTTTGCACAAGATTTCATCTTTATTGTGTCGCCAATTAGCTCCTCTCTTGCCTGCCATTTTTCTGTTTCCAGATATGATAAAATATGACTTTGAGAGAATACAATTTAAACTCTAAGAATGAGTGAAGAGAAATCTATGAAGAGTGCTTGAATAGATAAGAAAAATATGACCTTTTTTATTGTTGTTAAAATATGACTGTTGCAATGTTGGCGTTGTTTCGTTACTACATCAATTATTTTTCATTTAAATTTAAATCACACAGCAACAACCAATCACAAGTGGGAAAAGAGAGAAAAAGGGGTATGGCTGCCGGATGATGGGTCAGATTTTATGATATGGCGGGTTTAAAATGGGATGAGTCGGCAATTCTGTTAACCACATAAGCAAATAACTGACGGTGTTAACAGAGACGGACAGAGACTAACGGAGAGTGACCATACTTGGCCTGTTCTATTAAATTTAGTGAACAAGAATGAAATTAAATATTTTTTAGTGACAAAACATTAACTTTTTTAGTAATTGCAGTGACCAAACTTGCAATTTACCCCTAACAAATGTTGGGATTTCTTATATGCGAGTCGCATAATTTCAGACCACTTGGTCAGAGCACTAAAATGGTTGAGATGTTACAAATTGTATCAGAGCCTCTGTGCATCCTTCTTGAATAATGATAGGGAAAACCTCAAAGAGAAACTTGGAGTTCTAAGAGAATGTAACATATTTGATAACACATTAGACAAATTCCTCATCGACCAAACACATGAGAGATCTATAGTTCATAAGAAATAATCCAATGTTAACTGACAGGATGCATTTTAAGATAAAATGAAGAAATTCTTATAATATATATATGAAGTTAAAAGTGCTCGGCGTGAAGTGTAAGAATGAGTGGCCTATATGAGTTAAAGGGTTGGGATGTTACGGTTTCCATTTTGTGTGGTGTGGATACCATTGGAGAAAACGAGACCAGAAACTCTGACATTGTCCATTGCAATGTGGAACCCAAACGGATCGGTCTGTACATAGAATCAACTTGCAGAAAGGAAAACCAACTAATATGGAACTAAAATATCCAGTTGAAAATTATCTAGACTTCCATGTTTCCATCTTCTGTACACCAAACGACTGCTACCTCCAATACCTTCTTCTAGCCTATATATATGTACATTATGGCCCCCTACCTAAAATCAAAGCCAAGAGGAGAAGAGAAGATAAACCTTCGAGATGATGTTCCATTCCAACAAGGCACAAACTAGCTTAACAATCACCTCCCTCCCTACCTTCTATCTAATTTGAAAGGAAAACAGGAAAGCACGCCCCCCCTGTTATGTTATTTACAAATTCACAGATTCGTTGGCTATGTACTCCCCACGCCAGCATCCGAGCCAAATCTACGAAAGATGGAACGAGCCTTGCCCTTCTGTAATCGCATATACCAGTTTCTCCTTCATCTTCTCCTGGAAAAAAGAAGAGATGAAAACAGAACAAGTGAAAACCATGGCGAAGATTGGCACACCACGCAATAGCGA